TCCAAGATAATGCCTATTCCGATAACCTTAAAATCCAAAACATTATCGGTGTACAAAATTTCATCAAAATCGTTAGAGCCGTTTCCGAGAACCCTATGGATATATATATATACATATATATATATGTATATACAAGAATTGCTGGTTTATGTAATAAGATTGATCATGCATTAACCCATTGGCGACCCAGTTTTTTGTAATGTCTTATCTTAAGGTAATTTGATTTTATTATTATACAAATTATGAATAATTTAACCCATTGACGACTTTGACTTAACGCATTGATGACCATATTTTAACCCATTAGTGGCCAATTTTGTATAGTCTTTCTTTAGCTAATTTTATTAAAAATAGGTAGTTTAGGTTAAAATATAATCAGGGAGAACAAGTCCTTCCGATTCGAGAATAGATTTATCAATGAATTCGAAAATGTAATAACAGTAACAAGGTGTGTATTTATTGTAATCACTAGGAAAGAGCATGAAAGAGGGAAAGTCATTTATATAGAGATCAGTTAAATAGTAATAGATAGGAAACAGATACAAAAATTTGCGTTTCAATGTAAAACATAAGGGTCTGATTATGCATACTTCGCATAACTTCGCACAACCATTTGTACCAGTGCACTAAAAGTGTAACTTAAGAAAATGTGAAGCAAAATCTAAACTCAACAGATCGCTAAGTTTTTAAAAGTTCTGCTAATTTCTGGGTAATGGAATACATAAAAATACATACAAAGTACATACGAAATTACAGTTTGAAGTTTATGCGAAGTTGTGCGAAGTTATGCGAAGTTATGCGAAGTATGCATAATCAGACCATAATGGGTCAAAACAAAGCTAAAAGTAAAAATAATATAATTATTTATAGTTTCGTCTTTGATTGGACTATGAATATGCCCCATTATGTTTTAAATTTAAAGAGATTTACAAATTAAGCATACAAAATATCGAAAAGCAAGTAATGTATCTAAGTAAAACATTAGTTAATNTTGTGCGAAGTTATGCGAAGTTATGCGAAGTATGCATAATCAGACCATAATGGGTCAAAACAAAGCTAAAAGTAAAAATAATATAATTATTTATAGTTTCGTCTTTGATTGGACTATGAATATGCCCCATTATGTTTTAAATTTAAAGAGATTTACAAATTAAGCATACAAAATATCGAAAAGCAAGTAATGTATCTAAGTAAAACATTAGTTAATTAAAAAATCAGCTATTTATTTAATAATTAAAATAAAAAAAAAAAAAAAAATAGTCAAAACTGTTCAATATGTGGGTGTCGTATAGTTATGATAAGCACTATTAAAAGGATTTTGAATATGCAGTTTTGTAACCCATTTAATTGTAGTACATTAAAGTGCAAGTTTGAAGTAGCTAGGACTTGCGCTTTCCATACGAAGTATGTTCGACGATTTTTCCATATGGAGAAAATGAGCGACACCTTCACCAAAAAAATTGCCAAAAATCAACGGTACATCCTAGCCACACTGCCGGTAAAAATTATTGGCACAGCTGCTTTCTTACAATATATGCAACAATTTTTATTGCAATATTTTTCCGATAATTTTTTATAAAAATATGGTTCATTCCACGACAAAAAAACATAAACATATAATTTCTAAACTTTGTGCAAAACTCGCGAAAATTTAGCAAATTTTCATCCAAATTTTCAACTTTTTAATCAGATTTTTTAGAATTTTTTTTGAGTATGTAGATTTGTAGCCCATTAAATTGTAGTAACAAAAATGCAAGTCCGGAGTTAGTCGAAAATCGCATTGATATTTGAGAATTTTTTGTTGAAGTATATAAAGTATTTTCGAAAAAATTTTGTTGTATGGAAGAGACTGCGGGGAAAAATAGGCAAAAATCAACGGTAATTCGTAGCTACTTACACTGAGGGAAATAATGCATAGTAAAAATGAATACTTTATATTTGATTATCGTTTAAAAATGTTCGTATTTAAAAATAATATTTTCATACAAAATTTATTACGCACGTATTTGACTGTTCACATCTGAGTATGTATATGTAAGTGTACATACCCTGCACGTATACTGCACGTATGCTGCGTATACGCACTCCAAGCATGCAGAGCGCCGCTCTGAGAGCGCGGTGACAACACACACATACATACATAGTACATACATGTTTATCCGTACAAATCGCGTGCTGTGGTGTTGATGGATATTCAACAGTTGATAGCAGATTTACATATATGCCTGGGTGCGCAAAGATGCTTGCTACAAGTCGTTGATATCCGGAGATGGTCGGGTTCGAATTCCACCGAAGGCAACATGTTAAAAAATTTTTTTTTTTTTTTTTTTTTGTCTTTTTTATTCACTTCACGGATGCTTTTTCAGTACGAACGCGGTCATTTTAATATGCGCGTAATTGAATTGAATATTTACCAATATACAGTACTTTCGTTGACGTTTATAGTAAGATTAATTACGTTTCTATTTGATTTTAATATTTTTTCCCCTCAGTGTAGAACTTCTACGTTATTACAATAAATTGATTGGGCTACTCATCTGCATACTCGAATGAAAAAAGACTGTTTAAAAAGTTGAAAATTTGCATGAGAATTCGCTGAATTTTCGCGAGTTTTGCACAAAGTTTAGAATATATTTTTATGTTTTTGTTGTGGAATGAACCATATCTTTATACAAAAATTTCGGAAAAATATTTCAACAAAATTTTTTGCATATATTGTAAAAAAGCATCTGTGCCAATAAATTTACTGGCACTTTAATGTACTAAAATTGAATGTGCTACAAAAATACGTACTCAAAATCTTTTTTAAATATCTAATTAAAAGCATCGATATTTTACTAAGTTGGAAACTTAGATTTGTTCGACTTTTGTTAAGGAATAAACTATGTTTTTATGAAAAAAAATAATTAAAAATAAATAATAATAAAAAATCAATACTTGGGTGTCTTATAGTTATGATAAGCACTATATAATGAAAACTGTGACACTTATTCCTCACAGTCGGAATCTAAATCCCATCCCAGCCACGTTAAACTAATATTATTCGCTTCAAGTTCTACTAACTCCATTACTTCAGCAAAGAAAGATCTCCGGTTTGTGACCAATGGCAACAAGGGCGAGCAAGTATTCAGATGATCTAATGAAACTAACAATCTATTAAAAACGTCTTCTAAATTGTCAGCGCGACTCGTTTGTCTACCAGGGATGATAAATGAGCTTTTAATTTTTGTACCAAAAGGACAAAAAGAATGTACTAAATCAGCCGAAAAAGTACTAAAATTTAAAAGACCATACATACATATGTATATGTAATTTCCAAACAAAGTCTACATGTCAGGTATTTTTTATATTTTTTTTAGATTGAAAATTCTATCCTCTCGTTTACTGACGTGAATACGAAGCTGCTTTCCGGCTCTTCAAAAATTAATTTTGGTTCTTTTTTCTGCATTTTTGCACTTTAGAACTCATTTATCAGATAAGCTAATGTTGAAGTTTCTTCCACCTTCTTCATGACATTAACGTGACGTTTTTCTTGGGAGGCAGGCTTTTTGTTTAATCTTTCTTCGGCAACAACTTCCCATATATGCTATTTGAACACTTTTGAAGAAACAAGCGATTGAAATAAAAAATCCTTTTCCACCTTTGACACTTTGGAAATATTTCACATTGTTTGTTTTTTTTTTTACTTCTAAAATATAAAATCAAGGAAATCATTGAAACCCCTGAAGCAATAAATAGCCATTGGTAATTATCTGTTTTTTGCCTTGTACTCTTCAGAAACAAACTTTAGCAAACCATAGTAGAAAGCATAGCGAATTTAGTAAGAACTTCGTACTGTATAAGAAAATTTGGATCGATAAATTTTTCTTGACCATTTCAAACTAAAGAAATGTTTACAAATAATAACATAAAAACAGGTTTGGTTTTTATTAACCCGTATCTTCAATTGCATTTCTGCTTGGATACAAAAATTTAAAATCAATGGTTTATCTATCACTACGGGAAGGCATTGGTGTTAGATATTGAAGATATTGAAAACAGTTTATTTCAAATGGAGAAAAACGAATATTAAAAAATAATAAAACCACCAGCGAAGATCTCTATTATTGAAGAATATCAAGCAACACTTCATTGTCCATTTTAATTTTTCAATACTTGAAATAAACTGAATAAAAAACAAAACATTAAACTGTACTAAAATTTTGTAGTTTTGCGAGCATATTTGCAAGCATATTTACCAATGTTTTAGTGCTTATCTAAGCGCTTGACATGGATTTTTTCGTGCTTATTTTCTTCGGACCTGCTTATATTATAACAGCAACTGTTTGATGATTTTAAAAAGTCCTCCATTTTTAATAAACACTACGTATTTACTTGTATAAAATAGAAAAAGGATGACTATATTTTTATCCCCAAGTGGTATTTCGACATAATTTGTCGTAATGCTGTATTTTGACAAAATTGTATCAAAAATGTCGAAGTAGTACCTATGTACTTTTTGGATCCGAAATGTACCAAAAAAGTACAATTGTACCATCAATTTCATCACTGTTCCCTACTATAGATCTCTCTAAAGTTTTTAAAGTCCTGGTTCGAACTAAACCCGCTTCTCGCTAAAGATTTTAAAGTCCAGAACTCTCATATATCGTTACCTTAATATAGAAAGGCCCTAACTCATATAGTCGCTGAAATGCAAAGAAGCCGTAACTAACTAAAAACTTGTATTGCTTAAAATGATGTGGGGACTTAGAATTCGATGAAATGCTTCATAATCAATCAAAAGGGAATTTTGAATTTTTACTTATTTAGTTACGGATTTTTGTATTTCAGTGACTATATGAATTAGGGCCTTTATATATTAAGGTAACGATATGTATATACTACTTTTACATCGCATGAGATGACCGATCTTTGCCTTCATTCGGTCAATTGTATGAGAAAAATTCAATGATACATACTTGAAACCCGTTATTAGTAATAGTATTGCAGTAAATACAAACCTTACACAATTCCAAAAGGCTAAACAAGTCTTCAACCTCATCATCGTCAGTAGGCACATAATGTTTCCCAGTTTGTGTACTTATCCCCTTTGTTTCTCGCCTGTAAAGCGGCAAACCCATCGCTTTCGCCAAACTCTCAATGCCCATGTGCCCGACGGTCTGATACATAAAGCTGTCAAGTTCATCTGAAATACAAACACAGAGATACAAAGGAAAGTTTGTATATAATATAATATGTATTTATAAAATCATAAAGAATTTGTTTGGCATAAATTAAGAGCGGCTTAAACTGGCTAAGTATTGTTCAGATAAGAATATTCTAAATATATATGTATGTATATTAGGGTGCCCATTAAATTTTTTTTTTTTTAATTTCCCGCAGCAATGTCCTTCCTTTTTATGGGAAATATTATTGCCTATCAGAGCTGGGTCGTAATGATTCCTTTAGGAATTAAAATACTCCCAATTATAAATTACAAGGAATTGTAATTAGGAATCAACTCCTTCAGTCCACTGCAAAGGAATGGTTGTCGCCTGTTTGCAAATTTAACTCAATTAAATTGACAAAATAAATGAAATATTACAGTATGGGTACAAAACGAAAGGTATTTGAGAAATCTTGATTTGAAAATACTTTCAATAGGATTATCAACTATCTTAATATTACGTTCTCATTGAGCCACAAACTCGAGTTTATGGGACATTTTGGAGTTTAACGCTAAACTCTACTCTTAAACGCAGAGTTTACCATACAAAAAAAAAGTAAGTACGCCTGGGCCATACTGGAGAAGTCAAACTTACGTTACATATCTAGTTTGTCTCATAACCAATATTACGTCGAGGTGGCACAGAAAAATATTTATTTTGGTTATCCCATTTCACCGTTTTCCTACTTCACAAATTTAATTATGAATAATTGTAGTAGGAGCTCATATTCAGTTAGAAAACCATTCAATATACAAGTCATATTATTTGATGTTCTGTCATAAGATGCCACTTCATGTGTATCGATAACAAAATCGATAGTACCATCCATAAAAATATCAAAAACATAACCGATAAAATTATCAATAAAAATATCTATATCAAAGTCGATAGCAATATCGATAACAAAATCGATAAAAATATCGATAACAAAATCGATAAAAATATCGATAACCAAATCGATAAAAATATCGATAAAAATCAACAACCAAATCTATAAAAAACCGATAAAAGTATGGATACCCTAATCGATAACAATATCGATACAAAACATCGATAACTAAATCGCCGGCCGCTGTGGTGTAGTGGTAAGCAGAGCACGCTTCCACTCCGCTGCGCGTGGGATCAAGCCCTGGTCAAAGCAACATCGAAAAAAAAAGAAAAAAGGTTTTTTCTTAACAGCGGTCGTCTCTCGGCAGGCAATGGCAAACCTCCGAGTGTATTTCTGCCATGAAAAACAGCTTCTCATAAAAATACAATCGCCGTTCGGAGTCAAAAAAAAGCCCGTAAAAAACATTAAAAACGTATGGTGCGTTGCTTTAAAATGTTGCACCACGATGGATGTTGTATTCTAGCAGCTAAAGCAGTGATTCCCAAATTGGTCCAGGTGGACCCCCAGGGGTCCACGGAAGACTCGACGGGGGTCCACAGTGACGTGAAAAAAATTTGGGGGTCCATGAGTTGTAAATTGGGGTCCACGAAAATTTTTCTGGTTTCGATGTAAATAACCAAAATGGTTGCTTGATAGCCTCTTTATTTAACTTTAATAATTTTGAGTGGTGTATAGTGCTCTTGACGCACTGCTGCACTTACCGTCACTTGTGTTTTCATACGTAGGGAAGCCTTAAAGGCCACCTGCAGACTAAAAAGAACCGGATGCTGGTATGACATGAGTGGGGCGCGGCGAAAATTGCTGGCGGCAGAGATTTAAGCACTTGTGTCTTTTTAATGCTACAGGATAGTAAGCCACCATTACCTTTTGTTGAAGAGATTCTATAATGTTGACTTCCCTGAGATTGAATGCTGGTTTGATTCCATCGCTGAGACCGGACTCACACATTGTCAAATCTTCACTGATGGCTCCAAAACTGACTCTGGGTCAAGATCTGAGGTCTTTTTCGAGGTTAATGGAGATAAGCTTCACTTTTCTGTAAGGGAATATGCTTCGGTCTTCCAGGCTGAGGTAATTGCAATACTCACAGCCATGGACTACGTGGTGGAACATAGGTGGAGGGGAAAGAGTTTACGTGACTGCAGTGACAACCAAGCTGCACAAGCTGACCAGCCCTCTATTTAAGTACTTCCAAACTAATTCGGCAATGCAAGTCTCGACAAAAAATGATGGTGAACATAACGAGGTTGTTTTACTATGGGTGCCAGGTCACTATGGAGTACCTGGTTATGAGACATCTGAACACTTGGCCAGAGTTGGCTCAGACCAGGCATTACTCGGTCCGCAACCAGTTTTAGCACTCCCACCTTCGGCAATCGAAGCCACCATCAGAAACTGGGTGAATACTTCGCTCAGAAATGACTGAGAGGCATCGAGGGGATGCAGGTGGGCAAAACTCATGTTGCCTTCAATCTGACAAGGTTCATCAAATTTTTTGCTCTCACTGAGCAGACGACACTGCAGACAACTTGCTGGACTGCTGACTGGTCACTTCACGTGGCACAAACACCTGACTGTGATAGGCGTAAATGACAAGTCATTTGCCCATTTTGCCTTGAAGAAGATGAGACGGTGGAACACTTTTTGTGCTTCTTGCTCGCTTGGTTATTTGTCATCAATTTTTTTAAACTCGTTCTTTTTTCTATTGTCAGTTTCTGAATTAAAATTTTGGCGTAAAAAGCTTAGCCGTTTTGATAAAAATAAAAATGATGCCATTAACACAAATAAACTATTTTACATGTACTCCACGTGCAAAGTCATGAGTGAGCCGAACATTATGGCCGAAGTTTATGGTGAAGATAATGTAAATAACGCTAGCGCTCGCAGTGCTCTTAAAAATATAACTCTTACGAGCGAGAGAGTATTTTGATGTATTTACGAGCTCCATTTTTTAAAACCTTCAAGTGTGTAATCACCAGGGAACGGATTTTATGGAAATTGCCTTTTTTTCTGCTAAAGAGATAGAGTATATTCGATTAAGAATGTCCACGATTTAGCTTTCCCTGATTCCATATATACACATTTGATGTTGCCTTTTTTTGCCTTTTTTAAGATATTTGCCTTTTTTTTGCCTTTTTTAAGATATTTGCCTATTTTTGCCTTTTCTACCTTTAAAAAAGTGATTATAGCATTTACATTTTTTTTTTAAGATTAAAAAATATACACATTGCCCATGCGGCTTATAGCGCAGAGACCTCTTGCCAAATTGGTGTTGGAAAAATTCAAAGCCGTTTTCTCAGCTAACGAAGGCTTGGAGACAATAAGGGGTGTTGATAGAATTATAAAGGGCGAGGAAAACGCCCTTATTTCTGATAATATGAACGTTTCAAACGTTCCATATTTAAATTGGGCTCCACTTGTATCAACTTACGTCGAGCGCACATTTAGTACATTCAAGCCTTTTCTTCGCGAAAATCGAATGAAAATGCTGCCAGAAAACTTCAAACTGCATCTTGTGGTTCAATGTTATGAGTTAGAAACCCGAAAGGATAAAATAGTCAAAGATTCAAAGTACAAATTTTTCATATAATGAAACTAGTTCATAGTTTTTCTCTTTTTACTTGTAATATAAATGTATTTTTTAATTGTTCTTCATATTTTCCGTCTTTTAGGTGCCTTATTTTGCTTTTCTTGCCTTTTCCTGCCTTTTTTGCTATTTTGTTTTGCCTTTTTTTGCCTTTTTTGCAACACCTAGTGCCTTTTCCTGCCTTTTTCGCTATTTTATTTTGCCTTTTCCAGCCTATTCCGTTATTTTATTTTGCCTTTTTTATAGGTTTTTAGGTCCTAAAAATCCGTTCCCTGGTAATCACATTATTTTATAAACAGAACACAAGAAAATATTTGACTTTTATTTTGGCCACTCTGAGTTTAGTTTTTGATGCAAATTTAATTAATTTAATTTAATTTAATTTTCACATTTAATTTTTTTACGAGGTTTGGGAATATTTAGAAATGTATCAGCAGGGGGTCCACCGAAACCAGTAAATTTTTGAAAGGGGCCTACGGGGAAAAAAAGTTTGGGAACCTCTGAGCTAAAGGAACGTACACTAAAAATTTCAGACATGTGACAAAACATACATGTGTAAAAAAATAATAATTTTTTCACAAAAAAATTCGAAGTTTGTGAGAATTGCCCATATAGATAATTAGATACCATTCGGAAAAATTTCGTTTGCAGTAATTTCTACGTGGTAAGTGCTCCTCCATTATTTGGTTTCATAGAGATTCGGATGCCTTCCTCATTGAAGTAGTACAAATTCGCTTAAGTGCTTTTTTAGGTTAAGCGCACAAGTTTTTCGTGCAAAGAAAAATATACTGTATATTAAAAAGTTTTTTTTTTATTTCATTTATTTTATAGTTTTAAAAATCATTTACTTGTCATTTTAGGTCAGAAAATACGGTTTTGTAGATTTATCAGTTTTTGAATGACTATTTTTCATTCAATTTTAAAGATCGAACATGTTGTGAGAACAAGACTTATAGGTCTTTGGACTTGGGAGTTTTAACCATCACTAATTTCCACAATTTCAAAATATGTAGTACTATCTAAAATTAAATCCATTTTCAAATAAACTGATACCGCATTTATTGCAATCGCATAAAAATTGTCGAAGTTACGCCGGACTTTCAGATTTTTTGAGCGATGTGGCTAAGGAATTCATCAATATTTATTCAAAATTTATATATGCAATCGCTCTTTAGCAAAAAAGTGGCTTTTCAAGAAATTTTAGGAAAATGGGGGTATATGCAGTATTTCCAGGTCATTGAAGTGAGAAATCGTCAGTTTGGTTCTCAAAAATCGTCATTTGCATGTAAAAATCGTAAACGTATAAAAAATTTTAATAAACCGAACCAGGAAACTCTTTTGTTTTTTTTTTCATTTTATTTTAGCTTCTGATTGCTATACGTAAAAAATAAAAAGTTAAACTTTTTTACGGATTTTTAAAATTCGCTTTACTTTTAACAAAAATATTTTTAATTGCAATAAAATCACTTCTTCATCTTCATTTTTTTTCAAACTACAACTTA